GAATTGGACCCCTTGCAGCTTTAGCAAGCAGAGGCAGAATACTGGTGAAACCCTTGTCTGGGCTTTTAGCTAGTACCTGTGTTGCTAGTATGATAAATAACAAGGCAATATTATAACTATACCTCTGTAAAAAAATCAGATCGAAAACACATTTCAGAATGAAGGTTGAAATTTCATAGGCGGTATACCATACGGAAGGTGAAAGGGACGTAAGCACACATATCACGAAAGAAAATACCGCAAAGCCTGGTAACGGCACTGTGATATGGCGACTGCAAAACAGCACAAAAAATAGTCTTGAGTCAAAGCGCTAGAGCGAGAGGGTCGCGAAAAAGCAATCCGAGTAGCTGCTGAAGACTTTCCTGAGGAATTTCATGAAAACGCCCTTAGACAAGGGTAGGAAGATTAATGAGATTATGATGGGAGCTCGTTCGTGAGAACCTCAAATCTGTCTGGCGTAATCTATCTGTATCTACTGATCTGCAACCCCGTACAGAGACCGCATGCTTGTAGGAAATTCCAAGTGTCCTACACAATCACCACGTGAAGATGAGAAATTTGGCAAGCTCATATTCCCATCTTTTATGCTTATTCCTTATTACTCAGCTACTGAAACAGTTATACGATAAAAACAATACTAGTTCATTATGGAACAGTTTGTTCCTTTATTAGAGGGAAGATCTCCCCTAAACCTCAAGATAGAGTTAGATGCCGCAAAAAGTTAGCCTGATAACGGCAAATGGCACCATGGGACATTAAGACATGGTAAAACCTGAGCTACTACCCAATTACATTTCGTTAACAAATAAGATGACAGCCTGCTGGATAGAGTTGAGAGGGCGGAAACCAGTAAAAGCCCTTGTGTGCTTCAGGCCTCAAACATGTAGTTAATAATCATGAGGATATGAGCCCAAGCGTTGTCTTTAACCAGCGTCACCTGTGACAAAGGTTAGCGACAGTAGTAGTACTAGTACTACCAGCACTTAGCTATATTGCCTGTGTTAATACTTTATTTAACCCATAAGCTAATCACTTTACCTTGTATAGATTGGGATTACATACTGGGTGCCGCCTTCGTAAAAAGCTCACACAGGTCGTACTATAATATACTACTACTGGCTTTAGTAAGCATGATTACTAGAATTAGCACATACTTCTAGCAATGAGCTCATATTTCAGACCTAGTAGAAACGGACACAGTCTGATAGATAGAATTGATAGCGTGGAAACCGAGGCAAACTCTGCTGTACTCAGGGTCCCAAATATGTAATTACTCGGAATAGTGTAAATCTACATTCACACACCTGTTGAGATCAAAGCGGTATGAGCCTCAGTGTTGGCTTTAATCAGCCACT